CTTATACCAGTTCAAATTTTCAACCCTATCTTGATTGGTTCTCTCAGCCCCCTGGCCAACACCTTTGCTAACTACCTGAGTTTAACCCCTTAGTCACCAGGGGATGGTCAGCAATCCTGTCCACTTCAGGGGGAGTGCAGCAAAGTCATCTGCTGTTCCAAGTGGCTGATGGCTCCCTCTCCCACCAGGGGTACACATGTCTTATACCAGTTCAAATTTTCAACCCTATCTTGATTGGTTCTCTCAGCCCCCTGGCCAACACCTTTGCTAACTACCTGAGTTTAACCCCTTAGTCACCAGGGGATGGTCAGCAATCCTGTCCACTTCAGGGGGAGTGCAGCAAAGTCATCTGCTGTTCCAAGTGGCTGATGGCTCCCTCTCCCACCAGGGGTACACATGTAACCACCACCAAGGTGGATTTGAACCTGGAACCTGGGGAGCTGACTATAGGAGCCTCTACCCTCTGAGCTAAAAGCCAGCTGGCTCCCAGCCCGTGCTGTAGAGGTCTCTTGATCTTAACTGTTGCCGTGGTCTAGGTGCCACTTGCATTGCTCAGTAACCACACTAGGGCTACGTCTACACTGGCCCCTTTTCCGGAAGGGGCATGTAAATTTCACCAGTTGTCATAGGGAAATCCGCGGGGGATTTAAATATCCCCCGCGGCATTTAAATAAAAATGTCCGCCGCTTTTTTCCGGCTTTTAAAAAAGCCGGAAAAGAGCGTCTAGACTGGCCCCGATCCTCCGGAAAAAGTGCCCTTTTCCGGAGGGTCTTATTCCTACTTCAAAATGGTTAAAAGTATTTGAGCAAAATCGTGCCAGTCTAGACACAGCCATGTTGTTTTAGTTTCTCTATTCAAAATGGCATTGGTGCATGCATATGGCAAAGGCTGTATATAAGCCTTCCTGTCTATATGCTTTTAGCCAACTGAGGCACTGTAGAGAAGTGCTCCCCACCACAATTTGTGAAATGGCCCCCCTGCAAAAATCATTCCCCCCCCGCTCTACGGAATAAGAAAGAATGAAAATGTTCCTCATAATCATTCTAATGCTCATCTCAGGGGGACTGATCCTGTGAAACACTGAGTCTCCTCAGTGCCACTGGAGCTCAATGAGAGGTAAACACGCTCAGCGACTAATTGTTTTTTATTTGTACGACGGTGGCACCTGGAGATCACCACCCCTGTTCCGGGCTCTATCTTCCCAAATGCTGCACAAAGCAATAGTGACTGAGAATAAGACTGCTCTGAAGAGCGTAGAGTCTAACCAGCCAACGCAAGATCATGCCACAGCTCAGCAGCAGAACTGGGACTAGAGGAACCCAGTTTCTGGCTATCTAGGCCAGGGCTCTACCCTCCAAACCACACTGCCTCTTCTGCGTTGCAGGAACGAGTCTTAGGGAGCAAGTTGAGAAAGACTGGGCTTATTTTGCTGAGGTTTCCCGGCCAATTTGACAACTGGCGATTGGTAGAATCCTGCAAATCTATAGGATTCTGCCTTATATCTACGGATATGGGTGCAAATATCCAGGCTTCATTTTTGCAGATACAGATGTGGATACAAATGTTGTGTCCATGCAGTGCTCTAGCAATCAGCACTGTACCTGCTCGTTAGCCAGGGTCAAAAGTTTCAGAAGTTGGGCTCACTTGCTCTCGCTCTCATTTTCTCCCTTAACCTGCACTCTAAATGCGTTTTTTCCAGGCACGAGCAGGTATCTGTGCCTCCAGAGTAGCTTGTATCCAGGCCTGCAGACAACTGAGCCACTAACTACGTGCGTTAAGAAGTAAACGTGTGGCTGGTACATGCAAACAGGTGGGCATGAAATACTTGCCTGTGTGTGTTCAGAAGCTGGGTTGCTGCTACCTTTAGAGGCGGTGCTAAAAGAAACCCACAGCACGTGGTATCTTCAGGCTGCGTGATCCGCTCATAGAAGCTGAATGGTGTTGCTCTCCAAAAACCCCCTAGGAGAGGTCATATCATGGAGAGTGCCTCAGAGCATCACATACAGAACAGTTCCAGCAAAGCACTGAAAGGGAGAAGAATACAACTAGCTGATAAAAAGGCAGCCGCTATGCAGTGGGGTGAATACTTGACTAACACGCAAGGGCTACGTCTACACTGGCATGAATTTCCGAAAATGCTTTTAACGGAAAAGTTTTCCGTTAAAAGCATTTTCAGAAAAGCACGTCTAGATTGGCAGGATGCTTTTCCGCAAAAGCACTTGTTGCGTAAAAGCGTCTGTGGCCAATCTAGACGCGGTTCTCCGCAAAAAAGCCCCGATCGCCATTTTCACAATCGGGGCTTTTTTGCGGAAAACACTACCGTACTGTCTACACTGGCCCTTTCGGGCAAAAGTCTTTCGGAAAAAGACTTTTGCCTGAACGGGAGCAGCATAGTTTTTCCGGAAAAGCACTGATGATTTTACATTAGATCATCAGTGCTTTTGCGGAAATTCAAGCAGCCAGTGTAGACAGCTGGCAAGTTTTCCCGGAAAATCAGATGATTTTCTGGAAAAACTTGCCAGTGTAGACACAGCCAAGGGGATTCTTAATTGCTGTGATAGGGACAGTAAAAGGGCAGAAGGAAGATGGAAGGCACACCGGTTTGGACACATTTTCTTGGACTAAGCTTTGAACTCAGCCCCTTTCATGGGGAGGTCAATTCAGTTGAAGGGACAGATTCCTTAACCAACATGGCGTTGATGCTCCATACTATTTTAGCTAGTGTCATCTCTTCCAGGTCTATACTCTTCCAGGTTTATACTAACACTGAGAACAGTGTCACTCAGTGTCACCCAATTTGGTGGTGGGATGCAATTGATTCATGCCCTGCATACCAGAACAGCTGGGGTCCAGATGGGGAGCATCTTGAATCTCCACCAGCTGAGGCAAAGGCAAGCCTTTCCTTAGGAGAAGTTGCACTAGTCTTGTCTCACCCTCATTGCAGATCTTGCTGCTCTGTTGCCTGCCAATGGAGCTGCCTAGGAATGCGGGAGAAAGAATCGCCACTTTAAAGCAGGCAGTGGGGTAGCACAGATAAACCTGATGTGTAGCGTCATTGGAAAAAAGTCTCAGAAGGGTAGCTGTGCTAGCCTGTAACTTGAGAAATGGGTCGTTCTGTGGCACCTTAGAAACTAACAAATATAGAGAATCGTGAGCTTTTGTGGGTTGTATATACCTTGAGTTCTGTTATTTGCACTCCAACTCATCTGATGAAGTGGGCTTTCAAAGAGTTAAGCAAGAGTTAGTGTAGTTGCTGAAAATCCACTCTGCATGACCTATGAGAACATGAGCTATGAGGGAAGGCGGAAGGAATTGGGTTTGTTTAGTTTAGAAAAGAGAAGACTGAGGGGGGACATGATAGCAGTTTTCAGGTATCTAAAAGGGTGTCTCAAGGAGGAGGGAGAAAACTTGTTCATCTTGGCCTCTGAGGATAGAACAAGAAGCAATGGGCTTAAACTGCAGCAAGGGAGGTTTAGGTTGGACATTAGGAAAAAGTTCCTAACTATCAGGATGGTCAAACACTGGAATAAATTGCCCAGGGAGGTTGGGGAATCCCCATCTGTGAAGATATTGAAGAGTAGGTTAGAGAAATGTCTATCAGGGATGGTCTAGACAGTATTTGGTCCTGCCACGAGGGCAGAGGACTGGACTCGATGCCCTCTCGAGGTCCCTTCCAGTCCTAGTATTCTATGATTCTATGATTCTATACATTGAACTGGAGGGAAACAGCGAGTGACATTTCTGGGTTGCACTGTAAGTGGTTCACAGCACAACATGCTTTTTGCATTTCATCAACAGTCATTTTATTATTAAAAAACAGAAACAAACCCCAACCTAATAAAAACAAGCATTTTGTTTTTCCCAGTCATGCAGGGAAGTAGAAGCTAGGGAACTAGTGGCTTTTTCACTTTGACCCAAAACAATTGTTTTGGTGGAATTGCCAGCAAGTGAAAATGAAATGTTTCAGCATTTCTGGTGATTTAGAATCAAAGAGCTGGAAAAATAATGGGGGGGGGGGGGTCAAACAAAACAGTTTGATCCAATTTTGTCAAAATGAAACCAAACCAACCATTTGGTTTCTATTTGGACTCATTTAAAGGTTTTTTTGACTATTTTATTGAAGCTGAACAAGTTTTAAAATAAAAAAATTTCACGTTGAAAATGTCAGAACTTGTCTCAAAAAAATTTATTTGGGTTTTTTTTTTTTTTTTTTTTATCTAGCAAACTGAATTCACAAAATATTTTGGTGTCACTGAATCATCATGTTTCATTGAAAATTCCCCACCCCAGTACCATTGGGAAGGCTTAAAATGTACAAGAACAACTTCTAGGAGTGCTTTCCCTTCTAAGGGATTAACTCATCTGTCCTCAGTTTAGAACAGCGGTTTTCAAACTTTTTTTCTCATGACCCTGTTGAAGAAAATTGCAGATGCTGCGACCCAACATAATTTGACTAGAGAATAGGCTTCGGGGTGGGGCTGAGGCTGAGCTTTGGGTTGTAGGAGGGGGCTCCGGCTTGGGGGGGAAGGGCTGCGGCAGGAGGGGCTTACTTTGAGTGGCTCCCAGTCAGCGGTGGTGCTAAGGCAGCTTCCTGCAGAGCAGGCTGCGCTCCAGAAGCAGCCGGTTCCCAGCCAATGGGAGTGTGGAGCTAGTGGTTGGGACAGGGGCAGTGCTGTGCTGTCTGCGGTGCCAGGACAGGCAGGAAGCTGCCTTAGCCCCACCCCCCACTGGTCACCTGATCTCCCTGCAGCAACGAGCCCTAGCGCCCGACATTCCATGACCCAGTGCTGTGTCTCCACCCCTCGTTTGAAAACCACTGAGGTGGGGTCAGGCCTCTCATTGCACCGCCCACACCACTTCCCCTACCAGCCGTTGGCCATCACAGAAGACAAAGCAAATACCTTAAAACCAAAACGTGATGGAGCAAGATCTGATGCTCTTCTACAGCAGTCAAGCCACATAATGATAAGGAAGGCCATCGATGTTTATGGGCTAAATTTCATACCTGGGTGCCAAAATACCTATTGTAGGCCCTAAACTGTCAAATCGCATTGACTACTGGCTTGGCTAAGCCCTGGCTCTGACATAGGGAGATGTACAAGCTTATTCTAATATTACAGAAGGGAAATTGGGACTGACGATGCCCATGAACACACATGGTGACGCGGTCAGATCCAGCAATAGATCCGAACCCTGTACGGCAGCCATAAAACAGGAGTTTCTATTTTTCCCCCCCTCACAGACCGTGGCAGTGACACCGCCCAACTGCCATCTGCACAGATGAAGATGGACTACGACCGTGACAAGTCATCCAAACCCCCGGGTGTGAAAATGAGCAAATCCGTTCCCATCATTTGCGCTTCCTCGGGTAATGCCAACTGCCACGACACCCGCCCCACCCAAGGCCCCGCAAGGCAAGTGCAGGGCAGGAACCGCAGTGATAAACTGGCACCTTCCCAGGAAGCGGTCGCACGAGAGAGTCAAGGGTCAGACTTCTATAATGGCAACGTGGCCCTCGGATGCCCCTCTGACGCCTCAGAGAATCTCCACGCAACAGCTGCTGAGGAAAGCAGACGGAACGGGGGGTCAGTGCCAAAGGAAACTTGGGCTACAAAGAGCATAATCAATGCTCCCATGGCCCTTCCCATCACACACGTTTTCCCGTATGAGGAAAACAAAGTTGGCAATGGCAGCAAGGTGACCGTGAAGAATTGTACCTTCCATACCCCACCCGAGAAGAGTCCTGCACGAATGGGGGGTGGTTCCCCACTAGACCTTTCCAGAGAGAGGATGGACAGCTTGAGAAAAGAAAGGCAGGCACCACCCAACACGAAGCAGAGAAAGACAAGACGAGATCTTTTCCAAGATTCAAATGTTTTCCACCACATTGATGCTCACGTTCTGCGTGTGAGCGAGCAGGTAGGTATTGGAGGCACATGGTTCCTCCAAGGTCTGTATAGATTTTGTCAGTGAGAAACCAGCCATGTAATGCTTTGGCTAGTGATGAGCCTGCTTTTTGCCTTGCGAATTGAAACAGGAGGCTATTGTTGGTGTGAGGAATGGAACAAATTACTATTCCCACCAGTAAAATTAAAAGTGGGGGGAGGGGGGGAGGGTGCGGCAGTCAAGGCCATAAACATGTAGCCTTGAATCAGCCTGAGATGCAAACATACTTTGTGCTAATAACATCTCCTTTTACTTGGGCTGCTCCTTCAGCAATTTGTATTGAGTTGGTGAAGGACACGTGAATTTATGAGCTTTGGTTAATTAGAATTGAAACGGTAGGCAAAGAAAATTACACAAAGAGTAGAATAAAATACAACCACCTAGATCATACATAGGTACAGAAAAGAAATCCTCACCCCAAAGTCAACAGACTCACAACCATGTGCGCACTTACAACTTGTTGGTGGCCATCAGAAACTAAGTGAAAATACAGTAAATGAAGATCGCCACAAGAGGAATTGTTTGTAGTCAGTTTTCCACCATTCAATTGTTCCTGGTTTCCCAACCAGAGGTAGGTTTTTTAATACCCATTTTCCTTATACCCCTACATCTCTGGGTTATTTGATGTAGTGTCAGACACCTGCCCATCTTTGGTGCTAGTGGAGACCAGAATCAGGCGTGCGGCTGTTAGCATAAGCTATTTGTGTCACTTTGTTTCCAATAGTTTTGATACTTGAATGTAGTTTCTCCAGTGGTTACATGTTCCAAAAAAAACCTCTAGAAATCTGTTACTTCAAGCTTAAGCTGCCCTTTTGGGGTTTTCTTGTTTATCACAGCATGCATATTGTTAACTCTGATAACCCTAAGTTGAATATTTGATGTTAATAACCTAGGCTTTTGCAAACCGTTTAACAAATATTTGTACATTGGCTTTCCACGAAAATGTGTTAAGACAGTAAAGCTATTAGATCTGTCATGTAACGTGCATCAGCACAAGAAATGTAATTTAAGCTTGCATCCTAAAATCAGATCTGGGTTAGTGACTAGTTGGCTGGGGTCCCTAGCCTGAGACATGGTAAGACACTGAAACCCCGCCCTCTGAAAACCAGGTTCTATTTAAGGTGTGCTGGGCGGGGGAGGGGGATTACCCTAGAACAGCTACATCTGAAAATCTTGGTCCCAGTTTACCTGAGCCGAGATGTGAGTCTCCACTAGAGACTTGTAGTGATGCTCATATTGTGTTTAGTCATTCATTCCATTACGGTTATGTCTGGACTAGGGCTTAAGGCATGGGTGGGGGTAGGGCTGCAGAAAGCAAGCCCCAAACCCTGTTCCTTCTGCCCAGGCCTGGCCCCCTATCACAGGGAAGCGGAGTGGTGCATGGCCCCAGCCTCCCCAACCCTGGAGCACAGGGAGAGAGGGCCCTCAGGGGCAGCAACACTCCACCCCCAGAATGCTGACAGTAGGCCCATGGGGTGGGGCTAAGCTAGCTGTTTGGGAAAGGCAATGCCTCCCCCTGCCTACCATACCCACCACCCATGGCTTAAGGATATCGTGAGAGAAAAAATGAGGCAGCAAAATATGTACTTAGGTAGCTTGGGGCTAGAGAGCCAGCATCTTTCTTGTCCAGAAACAAAAAGGAGCATGTGTGAGTGCACATCAGGCACAGCCACAGTCTGTCTGCAGCCGGCAGCTGCAATAGAGAATTCCTTTTCGATCCAATACCCCTGAATCCAGCTCATTCTCAGCCATAAAACAGTCCCTCTTTCCAGGCCAGCCACAACACAATCAAAACCAATGAATCTCACCTGGGTGTAATAGTCCGGTCATCTCCCTGGCCTTTTTCACCACATGAGTTTTACAGAGTGAGGATCAGTCTCCAAGGTTGAGCGTTCAACTACTCTTGTGCAATTGCACACGTTTGACTGCTTGTGAGATCCAGCGACTGGCACACAAACCAATTACAACTATTCACTAATACCACCAGGCTACCCTCAAAGTCCAAGTCCAATTGCCAATCTCTTGTTACCCACACACCCAACACTGTGTAACGAGAAGGCAAAACTTTAATTACGCACTCAGCACTGAAAGTAATTGTTCTGCAGAAATCGGTCCCTCATCCCCAGCCGCAGGCTCACATGTCTTGGGATTTGGAAGCAATTAATGCTTGTCTCCAGACCCATCGAGTCTACCTCAGATGTTAGAACAGAGGTTTGGAGAAGGAGAAACAACAGAAAAAAGCCACGCAGGGGTGCAGGAAGCTGTACAAATGATTCATCTGCTTATTTAAAGTCCTGAATGTACTGAAATCTGGTGTGCTTGGTCTCTTCCCCCCCCCCCCCCCAAATTATTATGGTGAACGCCAACAATAGTAAAGAACTAAAGACAACTATCTACACTGTAGATGTGCATTTGTCCAGAACCTTCTGTCAGTGAGGATCAGCACTGTTCAGTGGCAAAGTCTTTCCCAGGGTCAGGAACTCCCTCTACTTCTCCCTACATGCCAACCTAGCTGACAGCTTACTAGGACAAGCCCCTATCTTCAAGAGACCCAACTGGGAGCCCTTGAAATTTAGGCTCAAAGCCAAACCATGCCTTAAGCAAGCTGGGAGCCGTGCCGCTGACCTCAGCAAGGTTGTTTTCATAGGTAAAGGTTTCTCCCGTGAGTGAGGCTGTGTGATGGTTTGGGAGGAGGGAACCTCGTCACTCAACCCAGAGTGACCAAGTAGAGACATGGGCCCTGTTCCCCCAGCAGCTGGAAACCGTGTTTCCTATTTTCAGTGGTGTCCAACATCCACAGGCGTGATCAGGAACTGGAGCGTAGGAACTGGTGGCGTATGCCCATTTCTGGGGGGGGGGGGTCTGTTCTTAGCCAGCTCTGGCCCAAACGTAGTTTAGAGCACCCTTGGGGTTGCTCCATGCCAAGTGAGGTCTCACTCATGCTGTGTGAATCCCCAGCTAGCAAGTCCTAGTGGTGTTTTGGTCCCTTTCACTCCATTGGAGGATGCTAAGGGACCAGCACAGGCAACCGACTCTGGCCTACAGCGAGCACCATACAAACGGAGACAGATCTTACTGGATGATCTCATGGCTGGTGCTACACATCCAAGTTGCTCATGTAACACCCTGTCCTCGCCAGATACAATCAAAGCAGGCTTCGTCATCAGTCCAGACCATCGTTCGGCTGATTACTGACAAGGTCCGAAGCAAACTGGAGACCGTGCGCGCAATATGGATGTGGCTGTGCCACAATATCCGTGAGTATGTTTTCCATTCCAGTTTGTCCCATAGAGTGATCTGGCTATATAGAGGGGGATGGTCATTAAGAACTAACCTAGGTTTTGGGAGCCCCAGGCTGCATTCCTCTGCTGACCCAGTTTACACCATCCAAAGATCGGTTCCCAATGCTTTCATTTGGGAGAGTTGCCAGAGCCTCTGGGTAATGGTCATGGTTTCATATCCTCCTCCTAGAGTATGACGTGGATGGCTTCTTAGGGTTATCTCCGAAGATCCATACCCCGGAACAGGTCCTGCAGACCAGAAGAGGCGTGTGCTCCGGTTATGCCCATTTATGCCGAGAAATGTGCAGGTATAAATTACCCTTTGTCTTGCTTTCCCATCAACACCGTGCGAACGGCTGGTGCTGCTGGACAAAACGTGTTGTGTGTTGATTTCTGGGCTGTGTTGCTTCCATCCACCGGGTACCCTGCTCTCTCCTGGAGACTTGGCCTTTGTTCTTTCTTGTTCTGGTCACTCTCCCAATTCCAAAATAAAAGTCTGAATGAACCGAGACCTAGGCAAAGAACAAAGAAACAATTGGGAAGGCCCGTACTGATCTCCACAGCCAAAAAGCTCCACTAAGGGATTGTTTATGAGACACTGGGAATGAAAAACAGGGGAGGTATCACTCGATGGTTCCCTGTACTGTTCATTTCCTCTGGGGCATCTGGCATTGGCCACTGTTGGCCCAGTCTAGCCGTTTTAACGTTCTATGAAGGTGTAGGAGCCCTGAGCTCCACAGCAAACATAGGACTATACATATAATGGAAAAGGGATTACAGAAGTCTGAACTATCGTGTCTTCTGAGCAGCCACCAGTTAGTTAACTTATTTCCAGCCTAATCTGTGGTTTTCTGCTGTGAATGTTTCCATCCATATAGGGAGGCAGGGCTGAGCTGCATTGAAGTGTCAGGCCACGGGAGAGGTACCGGTTACCAACAAGGGCTCGACTGCCAGCAAAAGAAACCCAACCACATGTGGAACGCTGTTCAGCTGGAGGGGCAGTGGCACCTGCTGGATGCGTGCTGGGGCGCAGGCATTGTGGATGAAGAGAAAAGATTGTTCATTCCCAGGTGAGACCTTGCCCCCGCCACAACCTCTCGCTTCTAATTTCCAAACACAGGGAAATCCACTCTTAACCCAGAAACAAAATACAGGACTATGTAGCACTTTAAAGACTAACAAGATGGTTTATTAGATGATGAGCTTTCGTGGGCCAGGCCCACTTCCTCAGATCAAATAGTGGAAGAAAATAGTCACAACCATATATACCAAAGGATACAATTAAAAAAATGAACACATATGAAAAGGACAAATCACATTGCAGAACAGAAGGGAGATGGGGGGGGGGGGAAGGTAAGTGTCTGTGAGCTAATGGTATTAGAGGTGATAATTGGGGAAGCTATCTTTGTAATGGATAAGATAGTTGGCGCCTTTGTTGAGACCGACACAGAGTGTTGAATTTTAGCATGAATGACAGTTCAGAGGATTCCCTTTCGAGTGCTGATTTAAAATACTTTTGAAGTAGGATGCAGGTAAGTTAAGTCGTTGAGAGAGTGTCCTTTCTGGTTGAAATGGCAAGAAACCGGTTTTTCTTTGTGGTCCTGTCTAATATCTGTTTTGTGGGCATTGATCCTTTGGCGAAGTGTCTGAGACGTTTGTCCAATGTACAAAGCAGACGGACACTTTCGGCACATGATAGCATAAATGATGTTTCTGGATGCGCAGGAACATGTATTCTTGATCTTATAACTCACTTGGTTAGGTCCAATAATGGTATCAGCAGAATGAATATGTGGACAAAGCTGGCAACGGGGTTTGTTGCAAGGGAAGGTGCCAGGGTTGGTATTAGTGTGGTATGTCCTGTGGTGGTTGGTAAGAATGATCTTGAGGTTAGGTGGTTGTCTATAGGAGACTATGGGTCTGTCTCCCAGAGCCTCTTTGAGTATGGTATCCTGTTCCAATATAGGCTGTAGTTTATTGATAATGTGTTGGACAGGTTTAAGTTGGGGGTTGTAGGTGATGACAAGTGGTGTTCTATTGTTGGTTTTCTTGGGTCTGTCTTGAAGTAGATGGTTTCTAGGTATTCATCTGGCTCTTTCAATTTGCTTTTTTATTTCTCCGGGTGGGTAGTTGAGATTTATAAATGCTTGGTAGAGATCCTGAAGCTTCTGGTCTCTGTCAGTGGGGTTAGAGCAGATGCGGTTGTATCGAAGGGCTTGGCTATAGACGATGGATCGTGTGGTGTGTTCTGGATGGGAGCTGGATGCATGTAGGTAACTGTATGAGTCAGTGGGTTTTCTGTAGAGAGTGGTGTCTAATTTTCCATTGTTGATTTGTACGGTGGTGTCCAGGAAGTGGATCTCTCGTGTAGAATGGTCCAGGCTGAGGTTGATGGTGGGGTGTAGGTTGTTGAAATCTCTGTGGAATATCTCCAGTGTTTCTTGGCCATGTGTCCAGATCATAAAGATGTCATCGATGTACCGTAGGTAGAGGAGGGGTGAAAGGGGACGGGAGTTGAGGAAACGTTGTTCTAGGTCAGCCATAAAGATGTTAGCATACTGTGGGGCCATGCGTGTACCCATGGCTGTGCCGCTGATCTGGAGGTATAAGTTGTTCTCAAACCGGAAATAATTGTGGGTGAGAACAAAGTTACATAGGTCTGCTATCAGGTTGGCAGTAGTGTCCTCTGGGATAGTGTTTCTAATTGCTTGTAATCCGTCTTCATGTGGGATGTTGGTATATAGAGCTTCTACATCCATGGTGGCAAGGATGGTATTATTGGGGAGGTTATCGATGTTTTGTAGTTCCCAGAGGCACTGAGACCACCGACAAGGGAGCGTGAACTCTGCTTACAGCCCTAGCCAAGAGCCAACTGGCTTTTACCTCATGCAGTAGAAGCTCATGGCTTCAGCCCCTAAGGTCCCAGGTTCAGTCCCACCTGGTGACCACCTGTAGAACAGCCTTGACTCTCCGGGTCTCCATGCCTGTGGGTCACATACTTATTTCTCATGTGACTAAGTTAGCCGTCCTCAGCCTCCCTCTACCACGACTCCATCTTACAACAGAAAAAAGTCCACCACCCCACCCTCTCTCATCTAGCCCTCAAGAAAGCGAGATGATTGCAAATCCCGGAAAGCTGAACACAGATCCCACCCCACCCCAGGGATTATTGGGCCCCCACTGTTGAGCTCCCCAGATACGTCAATCCGTATCTGCCGTACATCAGCCACGCTGGCTCATTCTGTTGTGACCCATGGCTTACAGTGAAAGATGGACACTCGGTCTTTCTACACGCTAGAGGCTATCCTGGCCTTACCTGGCCCATCCACTTACCACACTATTGAGCTAAGAGAACTAGATCCCACAGCATTCGAAAGAGTGGCTCAAACCCTGGACAGGGATGACATAGGTGAGTGCTAGCCACCGCTTGGCGAGCCCTGCCTATCAACATCAAAGGGAGTTGGCACACTGACTTCCAAGAGATTTGGATCAAGCCATAGGTGAGAGCCTAAAGAAATAAAAAATACCGCAACACACTTTGAAACACAATAGATGAAAATCTGAAGAGTTAGCACCAGAATAAGGATTTCTATTTAAAACGCAGTCTTGTAAATACAGATTTTTAAAGTATAGTCAAATACTACTTCTCCCACCATTCGTTCGGTTTGAAAACATGTCAGTATTTAAATAATTAGTCTCCAGTTATTATTATTATTATGAGGCCCCAGATAGAATTGTTTGAGATTTTCTTAGCCCATTCTAAGTCAATAACGATTGAGTTAAAGTCATTTATCCAATTTAATAATATTCTATTAGACATTAGGAACTTGACTGTTTGTACTCTAACACTGCATAATGAAGACAATGGGTGATTCCGAACTGGCAATTATTTTACTTGGAACACCTTTTGAAAAGAATCCGCTTATTTGGGTTGTCGTTGAGGAGTGGAGAGGGAAGGAGTGGAACAGACAGATGTTGTCTCAGGGCATGGGCAAATGAGAGATGCTTCCTTCCACTGTCTCCACTCCAAAGTTGACTGAAAGAAACAGGCGTCGGTCCAGTGGGTTAAGTTCCGATGAACCTATCCTGTGTAGTGCTGAGTGCCCTCAACTCCCGTTAAAGTCAACGGAAGTAGAGGGCTGTCGGCAACTCTCAGGATCAGCTCCTAATGTGGTAAAACCCTAAAGGGGAGAAGAATTGTTTGCGTAGTTCAAGGAGGCGGGGGCGGGGGGGCGCGAATAGGGAACAGACGCAAACACCATCACTTTGGATAATTACATTTGCACTGCATGATGCACTGAAGAAAACGCCAGGAGACCCACCCCTCTTGCCCCCACACCGTCCCAGGCAACAGAACTAGAGTAACCAACAGGCACGATTCCATGGTATTATACCAAGCCAAGGTAAAACAAAGATTTTATTGGGCCTGCAAAGAGCTGTCAGTTAACGAGTGAGATGGGTGTGAAAGGCAAATCTTCAGTGGAGGCCAAAAGTCACAAATTCCTCATGGGGCCTCTGGAGAGACGGTCTGGCATAAACGGGCTCAGTGTGAGGAAATGAGAAGACCATGCCCTGGATTCTGAAGTAAAGCCCAGGCAACAGCGTGATCCTGCGCATGTCCCAAATGTGCTAAACCTGAGGCCACCTTTCCCCGTGAGAGTCCTCTGACTTCAGTGCTGAAGGCGGGAGCTGGGATATGAATGCCGGCCGTGTCCTCAGCACTGTGGTCTGTTTTCCCTCCACTCTTGCAGGCATGACGACTTCTTCTTTCTAACCGACCCGGAACACTTCATTGAGACCCACTGGCCAGAGGAGCCCCAGGGGCAGCTTGTGCAGCCGCGTGTCTCGCTGGAAGACTTTGAACAAAGCGTTTTTAAAACGTCGGAGTTTTTCAAACTGCAGCTCTCCCTGCTCTCTCCAAACCGCTCCCTCCTCAGAACAGGTAAGTGCAGAGCGAGGACCGCAGTTTGCAGCCATCGATTCCTAGATCCTGTTTAGAAGGGGATATCTACTGGCAGATACAGGCCTCTCTCAGGGTTCCCTCTAAGCGGCCACTTGTGCAGCTGCCTAGGAGAGATTCCAGTGCCACCCAGCTGATCACCACAGCATTCACAACTGGGTTTTTTGCTTAAACTAGTAGTGCACATTTGCACATGCCTCAGTGCTTAAAAATTTATTCCACACACATATAGAAAAAGATTAGAGGGAACATTGTCCCCAATTCAGGAATGGGGTACAAGCATGTGCTTCAGTGCTTTCCTGAATCAGGGCCATACTATGGTAAAGTGACAAGGAAACCAGGAGTGAAGATGCCTGAATTGTACTTAATGACTCATCTGAGGAAGTGGGTTTTGCCCATGGAAGCCCATGATTCATATACATATACACACACACACAGGGCTCGCCAAACTGCGGTGAGCCCTGCTCGCCAGCCATGCTGTCCGGTGATCTGCGCATGCACAGATCACCTGAACCCAGCTCTTCCAGGTTGCAATCTACTCGCCCTGGGCAAGTAGATTGCATTATTTGTCGAGCCCTGTATGTATGTGTGTGTGTGTATATATATACATATTTGTGTTAGTCTCTGAGGTGCTACAGGATGACTCATTGTACAAAATTTGAGCATGCTGCTTAATCCCTTCTGTGCCTCAGTTTTCCCATCTCTAAAATAGGTACAACCCTACTTCCCTCAGAAATAAGTGCTACTTAATTGCTTGCAGATAGCTGCAAAATCCCTGCAATGTCTTCTCCGTGTTCACCAAGCCCTCTGCGATTGGCAGCAGTGTAACAAAAAAGTTGGGACATGAGTTTGCTTTTTTTCTGACATGGCTGGCACAGCGAGCATGCCATATACGGCCTGATTGAAATATTGCTGTCCTATTTCTTAAGGAAGATGAGCTTTTCCCCAATCAGTGGCAGCTTTATAGCTTTCTGGGTCACACTCAGTATGACCTTTGCCTGTCTGAAAATCCTTTGTGAAGCTAGTTAGCTTCCCCACAGCCCGTTGTTCTTGGCAGCCAAGAAGGTTTCTCTGTTATTTATTTTACCAGTAGGGCAGGCTACTAGGGAAAAGTAATCTTACAAGGCTTAAGAATAGATGGTGAATAAGTGGATCACTAACAAAGCGCAGTGTAAAGCTTTTGATCAAGCGGAGTCATTTACCCAGAAATCCAAATCGTATTTCAGGAGGTCTAGGCTTTGCTGACAGTTTTGAGCTTATATCTTGAAGTAAAGACTGAAGATATATCCCCCCACTGGCACATAATAGCTTGCTGTTCTATTGCACCTTTCATCAAAGGAGTGCTTTAAAAGTAATGGACCGTCATAATGTCCCTGTGGTGTAAGCATGCGTTACCCAACCCAATAAGTGATGTGGCCAAGGTCACACAACAAGTCAGTGGCAGAAATGGGACCATTATCCAGACTTTTTACATTCCACTTTCCTGCTCAAACCACCAGACAGGCTCCCTTCCCTACTCAAGTGCACACCACATCCTGGAATTAAAAAAAAAAATAGAAAACTGTTCTAACGGACAAGAAAGCTTTTGCCCTGATGTGTTTGCTTGCTTGAGCAATACACTATTCAAATACAAAATTAACCTGTGCCCAGATGTGTGTTGTACCAATCCAGACATCCCTTCGCCCCACTGTAAATACGTTTAGTCCACCCAGTCAAACAGGACTGGCTTGAACATCACAATAGGAGTCGCAACCATTCATTCAAGCAGAGAAAGAAGCTGATGCCAAACAAACCGGGAAGCCAATGCCGTGAACTTTAGAAAATGTGCAGAAAGCAAAGGGGTCACTGCAGAAAACTTTGAGGAAATGTGCCATACTGGCAAGTTATTTTATCTGGTACTGAGTACCAGAAAGACTCCCAGCCAGCCAGCCCCTGCACTGGCTGCTGCATCTGTGCATACAGGGGGGCACTCA